GTTCTAATATTAAATATTTGAAACTATGGGTGAATATTGTGATTTTTAAACACTCAAGTAGTTAAAGTACTATAGCTAATAAGCCAATGGTGTTAATAAAGTAGAATTATGAAAAATACTGAAATAATTTTCATAGAGAAATAAATTTAAAAATAAAACAAAGCACATATTGAATGAGGAGAAGTAGAGAAAATGATCATTTAAATCTGAAAAATATGGATAAATTAAATCCAGATGGTCTAAACATTTAAGGAATAAAAATCCTTGTCAGAATTGATCACAAAACAACACCAAGACACAAATATGTGTATCTACAAGAAAATCTCTTTAAATACTGATACAATCACACAAATGTTAGGAGTCAATGGGTAGAAAATTATATTCTGTGGGAATACTCAGTTCAGTTCAGTTGCTCAGTTGTGTCCGATTCTTTGCGACCCCATGGACTGCAGCACACAGGCCTCCTTGTCCATCACCAACTCCTGGAGTTTACTCAAACCCATGTCCATCGAGTCGGTGATGCCATCCAACCATCTCATCCTCTGTCATCCCCTTCTCCTCCTGCCTTCAATCTTTCCCAGCATCAGGGTCTTTTCCAATGAATAAGTTCTTTGCATCAGGTGGCCAAAGTATTGGAGTTTCAACTTCAGCCTCAGTCCTTCCAATGAACACCCAGGACTGATCTCCTTTAGGATGGACTGGTTGGATCTCCTTGTAGTCCAAGGGACCCTCAAGACTTCTCCAACACCACAGTTCAAAAGCATCAAGTCTTCAGTGCTCAGCTTTCTTTATAGTCCAACTCTCACATCCATACATGACCACTGAAAGAACCATAGCCTTGACTAGATGGACCTTTGTTGGCAAAGTAATGTCTCTGCTTTTCAATATGCTGTCTAGGTTGGTCATAATTTTCCTTCCAAGGAGTAAGCGTCTTTTAATTTCATGGTTTCAATCATCATCTGAAGGGATTTTGGAGCCCAGAAAAATAAAGTCAGCCACTGTTTCCACAGTTTCCCTATCTATTTGCCATGAAGTGATGGGACTGGATGCCGTGATCTTAGTTTTTTGAATGTTGAACTTTAAGCCAACTTTTTCATTCTCCTCTTTCACTTTCACCAAGAGGCTCTTTAGTTCTTCACTTTCTGCCATAAGGGTGGTGTCATCTGCATATCTGAGGTTACTGATATTTCTCCCAGCAATCTTGATTCCAGCTTGTGCTTCCTCCAGCCCAGCGTTTCTCATGATGTACTCTGCATATAAGTTAAATAAGAAGGGTGACAACATACAGCCTTGACATATTCCTTTTCCTATTTGGAACCAGTCTGTTCCATGTCCAGTTCTAACTGTTGCTTCTTGACCTGAATACAGATTTCTCAGGAGGCAGGTCAGGTGGCCTGGTAGTCCCATCTCTTTCAGAATTTTCCACAGTTTATTGTGATCCACACAGTCAAAGGCTTTGGCATAGTCAAAAAAGCAGAAATAGATGTTTTTCTGGAACTCTCTTGCGTTTTCGATGATCCAGTGGATGTTGGCAATTTGATCTCTGGTTCCTCCGCCTTTTTTAAAATCAGCTTGAACATCTGGAAGTTCACAGTTCATGTACTGCTGAAGCCTGGCTTGGAGAATTTTGAGCATTACTTTGCTGCCGTGTGAGATGAGTGCAATTGTGCGACAGTTTGAGCATTCTTTGGCATTGCCTTTCTTTGGGATTGGAATGAAAACTGACCTTTTCCAGTCCTGTGGCCACTGCTGAGTTTTCCAAATTTTCTGGCATATTGAGTGCAGCACTTTCACAGCATCATCTTTAGGATTTGAAATAGCTCAACTGGAATTCCATCACCTCCACTAGCTTTGTTCGTAGTGATGCTTCCTAAGGCCCACTTGACTTCACATTTCAGGATGTCTGCCTCTAGGTGAGTGATCACACCATCATGATTATCTGGGTCATGAAGATCATTTTTGTACAGTTCTTCTGTGTATTCTTGCCACCTCTTCTTAATATCTTCTGCTTCTCTTAGGTCCATACCATTTCTGTCCTTTATTGAACCCATCTTTGCATGAAATGTTCCCTTGGTATCTCTAATTTTCATGAAGAGATCTCTCATCTTTCCCATTCTATTGTTTTCCTCTATTTCTTTGCATTGATCGCTGAGGAAGCCTTTCTTATCTCTTCTTGCTATTCTCTGGAACTCTGCATTCAAATGGGCATATCTTTCCTTTTCTCCTTTGCTTTTCCCTTCCCTTCTTTCCACAGCTATTTGTAAGGCCTCCTGAGACAGTCATTTTGCTTTTTTGCATTTCTTATTCTTGGGAATGGTCTTGATTCCTGTCTCTTGTACAGTGTTGTGAACCTCTGTCCATAGTTCATCAGGCACTCTGTCAGATCTAGTCCCTTAAATCTATTTCTCACTTGCACTGTATAATCATAAGGGATTTGATTTAGGTCATACCTGAATGGTGTAGTGGTTTTCTCCACTTTCTTCAGTTTAAGTCTGAGTTTGGCAATAAGGAGTTCATGATCTGAGTTCATGATATGAGTGGGAATATTACTATCAAGAAAACTGAAATGGCCATGATAATATTGAAAATGTATAAATAAAGAAGGGTCAAGGAAAAATATTTATAAGGGTGTGAAAAACCAAGAAGACATACCACACTTAAACATATATGCACCCACTAACAGAGATTCAAAATATATGCAGCAAAACCTGACAAACTGACAGGAGACATTCTCAATTATTTGGGGGTTGAAATACTCTTTTCCCAGTACCTGACAGAACAAGTAGACACAAAATCAATAGGGACGTAGAAGGCTCAGATAACTCCATCAACTAAAGCGACCTAACTGACATTTACAGACACTCTATCTGACAAATTCGAATACTCATGATTTCCAAGTGTCCATATAACCTTCAGCAAGAGAGACTGGAATTAGGTTATAAAGTAACTAATAAATTAACAGAATCAAAGTGTTACAGTATTACTTCTCTGATAAAATGGGACTAGGTTAAAAATCACTAAACAACAACATCTCAGAGAATACACAGATTACCAACAACAACGAGTGAGATCTCAGCAAATTGGCGGTGTGTGCCACCCACCGGAGCTCACTGCTGGACGGCCAGCAGGGGGGCCGGACGGCCGCGTCCCACCCCGCCTCGCTCTTACCTCAGTCTCTATTCGCCCTCAGGAATGCCAGCCACAAGCGTGCAAGAAGTCAGCACCATGTGGTTCCATAGCCAACAGCGCCCTGAGCACCTTCAGGTGCTTGGAGCTCAGAGGAGAAGTGACCTTGGGGATGAACGGGCCTCCCGGAGAAGACCCGGCAGGACCCCAGCGCCTCGGATGGCACAGGTGGACCCGAGCAGGACCCAGCTGACAGAGAAGCGCAGACCCCCAATCTACCCGCAAAGACCTAAGTGACGACGACTCAGACGCACCAGCTAGGACTAACACTCGAGTGCTGTTTCCACAGATCTAAAGAGTGTTTCAATTTGATTTTTATATTTAAAACTGCAGTAGATAATATTGAAGAATACAGAATACACAAGAATTATAGTATAACTACCATAAACTCATCACCCGATTTAAGAAATAAAACCCTGTCAGCATAGTTAAGTCCTGACCACCAACCCCTGTGTGACTCATCTCCCAAAGGAATGACCATCACCCTGGGTCATGGTACAAGACTATTCACCACATGTATATTCTTTGCATTCTTAAAGTGAACAGGAATGCCATTACACTGTTACCCAAAGAGTGTGTGGGATCTAGCTGCTCACCCTCAAAAGCCAATAAACAGGCCAGGTTGGTGGAATGGAAAGTTTGCTTTATTTCAGAGGCTGGCAACTGGGTGAGGGGAAGAGCAGACTTGTGTCCCAAGACTGACTGCTCCACTGACAATCAGGGGGTGAGAGCTTTTATACACAGAGCTGGGGGCTACAGGCAGAAACGACACAGTCATCTCTGACACCCTTCTTCAACCTGCTCATCGGTAGTTTCAAAAGTCCAACCTAAGTAAGACAGTGGTGGTGGTTTAGTCACCACGTCAATGTCCGACCCTTGCGACCCTGTGGATTGTAGCCCACAGGCTCCTCTGTCCTTGGGATTCTCCGGGCAACATTAGTGAGTGGGTTGCCATTTCCTTCTCCAGGGGACCTTCCTGACCCAGGGATTGAACCAGGATCTCCTGCATTGTAGGCAGATTCTTTACCAACTGAGCCACCAGGAAAGCCTGATCTAATGAGACCCCACTGAGCAGTTATCAGAACGGCCCATATCCAGGGCACTGACATTGCCAAATGCTGGCGAAATGTGGAGAAACAGGAACCCAAATTCTCTTCTGGTGGGAATGTAGAATGCTGCAGAAGTGTGCTGGTTTCTTACAAAGCTAAACATACACTAACCATAGGATCCAGTAATCACAATCCTTGGTATTTACTCAAGAGTTAAAAACTTATGCACACAAAAAACCTGAACACAAATGCAGCTTGATGTTATCACAGCTTTATTCATAATTGCCCCCAACTCGGAAGAAACCACAATGTCCTTTAAAAGGTGAATGGGCCAGCCAGACAATGGGATAGTACCCAGCATTAAAAAGCAATGAGCTGTCAAGAGAGGAGACAATCTGAAAAGACTACCTACTGCATGATTCCTACTCTGACATTCTGGAAAAGGTGAAGCTATGGAGAACAGCAAGACCAGTGGTTGCCAGGGTGTGGGTGAGGGAGCACAGAGGATCTTCAGGGCGGTGAAAACACTGTGTCACACAGCGATTAATGCGTGTCACGTCCATTTGTACAAGGGCACAGAACGAACACCAGAGAGACCCCCAGCTCGCCATGGCCTTGGGGTGCCTACGGCGTGCCCGCGAGGGGCCCGGGATGGACCCCTGGCAGCCCGAGGGGGCTGCACGTGTCGGGGGAGGGGGTATAGATGAACCTCCATACTTTCCTCTCGCTTTTGCTGTTAATCTAAAAACTAGAATAAAAAATCAATTACGTGTTTCTAAAACATTCTAACGTCAGGCGGGCCCACGGGGGGCTCCGAGGCCGCACCTCAGCCGCCCCCCGGGATGCGGCCTGCGCAGCCCTGGAACCCCGCCGGCGCCCGCGTCCACCTTCGGGGACTGTTAACACCCCGACTCCCCGCTTCCAGAGCGAGCGGCGGCTCCGGTCCTCGTCGCCGGACACCGGCCAGCGCCGCTCGCAGCGCCCCGCTAGGCCACAGAGGACGCGCGGTTTGGAAAACTGACAGGTATTAACAGAGCACGGTGTGCTGTGACCCTGCCGGTCGCTTAAGGCGAGTTGTTCTGTGAAGTCACATGCTCCTCTGGGGAGTCGGTTACTTCTGAGGCAGGAAGGAAGCCCAGAAGACGAGCTTGCATATTGTCGTTCCGCACATGAAGCTCTGGAAAAAATAACATACGTAAATCTAGCTCTGGCAGAACCAATCCAGCATGGACAAACCATCAAAGGAGCCTTTGTCTAAGTATGGTGGGTGGAAGCATCTGGGGAGTCATGGAGGGGGCATCCAGAGGGAGAGGCTGTGAGCAGTGGTGGTGATATTTTAATTTTGATAGAGATTAAGGTCATGTGAGAGTCTGTTTGTCAAAACCCATCAGATGTTCTTCTAAGTTCTTTAATACTTAAATACATTTAAAGTTTTTAATACTTCACTGAGTATATAGAACTATTTTCTCAAAAGAAACCCAATAAATATTAATAATGTGTTAGTCACTCAGTTGTGTCCAACTCTTTGTAACCCCCTGGACTGCAGCCCACCAGGCCTCCCTGTCCTTCACTATTTACTGGAGTAACCATCTCATCCTGTCATCCCCTTCTCCTCCTGCCCTCAATCTTTCTCAGCATCAGGGTCTTTTCAAATGAATCGGCTCTTTGCATCAGGTGACCAAAGTATTGGAGTTTCAGCTTCAGCATCAGTCCTTCCAATGAACACCCAGGACTGATTACCTTTAGGATGGATTGGTTGAATCTCCTTGCAGTCCAAGGGACTCTCAAGAGTCTTCTCCAACACCACAGTTGGAAAGCATCAATTCTTTGGCGCTCAGCCTTCTTTATGGACCAACTCTCACATCCATACATGACTAATGGAAAAACCATAGCTTTGACTAGATGGACCTTTGTCGACAAAATGATGTCTCTGCTTTTTAATACACTGCCTAGCTTGGTCATAACTTTTCTTCTAAGAAGCAAGGGTCTTTTAATATCATGGCTGTAGTCACCGTCTGCAGTAGTTTTGGAGCCAAGAAAATAAAGTCTCTCATTGCTTAACATGGCCCACAACATCTACTGCTCGCCCAACAAACACCAATTTGTTTTCTATTACTATACATAGTTTTGAATTTTATATAACTAAAGATATTTTAATAGCCTATTCTTAGAGCATTTTAGGTTTGTAGAAAATACTTGGGCAGGAATCCCTTTCCATACACCGCCTCTCTCCCTTCACTCCTTTTGCATCCCTGTGTGATATTACTTACAGGGGATGAAGCAGCATTGATACATTGTTACTGATGTGAGGGTTCAGCTCCACTTCCTGCTCGGCCCACCCCTGGCCCTGAGCCCCTGCAAATGACTGACTGACCCTTTTACTATCTCCCTGACTTGGCCTTTCCCAGAAATGTCACATGGTCGAAATCTTCCAGTAGCCATCAGACAGGCTTCTTTTGCTCCGTAACAGGCTTTTAAGCCCCCCCCCCCCCCCCCGTGTCTTCTCAAGGCTGGATCGCCCACGTGTCTGTCTCTGTTCCTGAGCGCACCCCATCGCACAGGTGCACCAGTTGTATCCATTCACATACTGAAGACACCGAAGTAAAGCTGCTGTAAGCTCTGGCGGGCAGGATTCTGGGTGGACACAGGCCCTCGCCTTGTTTGAGTAAATACCCGGGAGCCAGGAAGGCCATGTCCCGCACCGTCTGCGTCCCCAGCACAGCACGGAGGCTCTGCTGCCTCAGCCTCGCCGGCACTGCCGGCGGCAGTGTTCAGGCCCCGGGCCTCCCAGTGAGGGAGCAGGGACTTCATGCTGCCGCTTCCGTCTGAAATCCCCTGACGACACACGACAAACACCACTTTTTCATACATGGACTCACCGTCTGTATGGCTTGTTTGGTGAGGTGTCTGTTCCCACCACTCGCTTATTTTTAAATTGGGTTGTTCGCTCATTATTGAGTTCTTTGTGTGTTTTGGAAACGAGCCTTTTATCAGATGTGTGCACTGAAGTGATTTTCCCACAGTCTGTGCTTTGTCTTGTCATCGCCTTAACAGTGTCTTTGCAGAACACAGCTGTTGTTCCGTATTTTCATAAAGTCAATCTTTTCTTTCACGGACTGTGCTTTCGGCGCTGTATCTGAAGCACTGTCACCAAACTCAAGGTCACCCACATTTCCTCCCAGGTACCTCTACAAGCTGTTGTTCACATTTTGCATTTAGGTTTATGTTCCACTAAGTTCGTTTTTTTAATAAAAGGTTTAAGGTCTGGATTCTCTTCTTGTAATGTGAATGCCCAGTGGTTCGAGCACCATTTGTTGAAAAGACCACTCCTCCTCCGCTGAATTGCCTCTGCTGTCTCGTCAGAGCCCAGTGGGATGCAGCTGCCCACGTCCCATTCTGGGTGGCTACTGATAGCTGACCTCTGCTTTCTCTGACTCTAAGCTGTGGCTCCATGGCGACTCTCACCGTCGGGCAGGGTCAGACTGTTCTTTTTCAGAGTTGTGCTGGCTGCCCTGGGTCTGTGCCTCTCCACATGCACTGTGGAGTCAGTTGGCAACAGGCGCAAAAGGACCTGCTGGGATTCTGACTGATGTTGTGAGTATAGTGAATCCTTGGCAACTGGAAAGGTGACCTGATTCAGAAACAGGGCCTTTGCCAGTGTAACCAAGTCAAGGTGATGTGGACAGGGTGGGCTGTGATCCCATGTGAGGCTGACCTTACTACAGCAGAACTCTGGGCACAGGACAGGCGTGTGAGAGGAGACCACGCACAGATATCGGGGGCAGGGGAGGCCCTGAGGACGGGAGTAGCGGGGAGTTAGTCATGTCGCCCCAGGCTAAGGATGCCGTGCTCCCAGGAGACACAAGGGCGGGAACCCGCAGACTGGGCTGGGAAGGAGCGTGGCCCCCAGCACTCTGAGTGCAGACTCTCAGCCTCCAGGCCTGTGAGAGGGTACACTTCTGCTGTTTTAAGACACTCAGTGTCTTAGTTACACTTAGTTACAGCAGTCCTAGGAAGCGAATATCCCTGGAGAAGGGAACAGCTACCCACTCCAGTATTCTTGCCTGGAGAACCCCAGGGACAGAGGAGCCTGGCGGGTTACAGTTCATGGAGTCACAGAGTCGGACTCGACGGAGCAGGAGCACAGGAAGCCGACGTAACCATGCCGTGCGCCCGGTTAGGGAGAGGGACACCTGCACATCATCAGACTTCCCCACCAAGGAGCACTGGTTCTCTCTCATTTAGATAACCCTTGATTTCTTTCATGAGTGTTTTGTAGTTCTCCTTATATGCATCTTACATCATATATATATACACACACACACACACACACACACATATACATTTTATTTACACTTAACCATTTAATTTTGGGGTTAATGTAAATGGTGTTGTTTTTTAATTTCCAGTTCCTCACTGCTAGTAAAGGAAAGCAAATGACTTGTGTATGTTAAGGGTGTATTCTGCAACCTTGCTACAACTGTCCATCAGTTCCAGGAGTCTTTCATCAAATCTTTGAGATTTTTTATGTAGACAGTCATGCCATCTGTGAACAAAGACAGTTTTATTTTTTCCTTCCAATCCTCATACATTTTCTTCCATTATTTCTTTCTCCATTAATCTTACATTGGGTAGGCTTCCAGTATAATGTTGACTACAAGCTGGGGGACAGGACATCTATGCTTTGTTCCTAATGAACAATTTTTAATTTTAATCAATCATTTTATATGCTTTCTTTTCCTCTCCCCACTCACCATATCAATTACACTTCTTTTTTTTTTAATGGTTAATTGTGGTTTTGGTGTTTTATCTAAGAAATTTTTGCCTAAATAAAGCTTATAATATTCCTCTTCCATTATCTCCTAGAAGTATTAGCTTTAGATTTCCATTTAGGGCCAAGATTATTTGTTTTGAGTAAACTCTTTTAAGACATCTGGGTTGAACTTCTTTACATGGATGTCCATATAGATATTAATATCCAATTGTCCGATACTAGTTTTTGAAAGACTCTTCTCTATCCAGTGGTTTTCCTTTGAACTTTTGTCAAAATTTATTTGTCCATATGCATGTGGGTCTATTCTGTCTCTCTGTTCTGCTCCACTGATATTTGTATGTACTGGTTAGGATACAAAACGACCCTGCCGCAGCTTTACGGTGAGTCTTGAAAGGCACATCATGTTCATGTGTGAACCCTCAACTCTGTTCTACTTCAAAGTTGCTGTGACTGTTGCTGCTTCATCTCCATAAAACTTTCAGATTCAACACAGCAGTTTCAACAAAGAGGCCTGCAGGGATTTTTCATTGGGACTGCATCCACTCTAGATCAGTTTTGGGTAAATTAACATCTTAACAATTCAAGATTTATACACAATAAATACCTCATTTGTTTGTGCGTGTGTGCTAAGTCGCTTCAGTCTTGTCCAACTCTTTGCGACCCCGTGGACTGTAGCCCAGAAGGCTCCTCTGTCCATAGGATTCTCCAGGCAAGAATACTGGAGTGGGTTGCCATGCCCTCCTCCAGGGGATCATCCTGATCCAGGGATCAAACCCACGTCTCTTGTGTCTCGCGCATTGGCAGGCGGGTTCTTTACCACTGTGCTACCTGGGGAGCCCCTCATCTGCTTAGTTTTAATTCCTCTCAAAAGTGTTTTGTAGCTTGTAGTGTACTGCTCTTAAAGATCTTTTGACAGATTTGTCCCTGTTTCATATTTTTTATTTTGTTTTATATGATATCTTAAAATTTTAATTTTCTAGTGCTTATTTCTAGTATTCAAAAATATTATTGCTTTTAGTATACTGACACAGTATTTGATAACTTTTATAAACTTATTTATTCTAATAGATCTGGGGGATACAGATTTTATTGGAGCATCTACATTGACTATTACATTGTCTGAAAATAAAAATAATTTGACTTCTTCTTCTCTAATCTGGACAATCCTGAATAAGAGTGGTGGCATTAGGTGTCCTTGCCTTATTCTTGCTCTTAGAGGGAAAATATTCAGTCTTTCTCCTTTAAATACGTTGTTAACTGTACGTTTGTTGTAAATGCTTTTATCTGTCTGCGAAGTTCCCTTCTATTAATTTGCTGATAATTTTTATTAGGAACAGAAGTAGAATTTTGTCATATGCTTTTCCTGAAACAGTTAAATGATAATGTGATGATTCATTTTTACTTTGTTAAAACGGTTACTGTGAGTTACAGGAACCGATTTCCCAGGGTTAAGACAAACTTGCATTTCCAAGTAAACCCTACTTATCACTTTGCTTGGATAATTACTTACAAGTATGTATCCTATTATATTTGTGACTGCTTTGGGATTGATAGCACAAAGTTTTAATACATCACTGTTCACCCTCAAGTGGCATTATTCCATTTCACTTGTAGTGTAAGAACCTTACATTAGGCAACAGCCAGCCTGGTTTGGCTAAGTGAGCAGAGCCCTAGAAGACAGAAAGATATATTGCCACTAGGAGGTGGATGTAAAATATAGAATGAAGACAAAAATACAGCGATTTTTTTCAGTGAAAGCACCATGTTTTCTCCACGCTTCAGCTCGTTTCTGGCTTTAGCTTTCTGTGTAGCATCTTAAAAACACGATTGGTTTTCAGGATAAAAGGAAGAGTAAAAAGATGTACTTATTTCTCAGATATAAGGCCAGTTGCTTCTAATTTTGTTCTGCTAGCTGGTTGGACCCCCTGCGTCCGTGTTAAACCACAAAGACAGAAATTAACGGTGTATTCTGAGATATCTGGGGTGTCATCACTTCAGACCGTTGGAAACTGAAGTTGTGTTGGCGACACAGCGCCCTGGGTGTCCTGGAGCTGCGATGACTGTGCGATGGTGTCTGGGTAGTGGGGGGTTGTAACAGCCGGATGGCTTCGTTGCAGAGGACGGAATGCAGGGAACAGCAGGGAATGGACGTGGTGCCTCCTGTGGCTCGGGTGTCCCCAGAAAGAGCTCAGCGTTCCTGATGGACGAGGTCTGAGTTCTGGCACGCTCTGTAACCCAAGCTGTAACCCGTCTCTTCCCAGGACATGCCTGCGGCCAGCTCGGTGACCAGGGTGCGTTGGTCACTACAGAGTGTCCACCCCAGGACACGTTCAGCACCACGCTGTCCCAGGTGACGTCTGAGGGTTACACCAACTACTGGTCTCACAGCAAGCACACTTCTGAAGATGGAAAATTACGCTTGCTCATCCAGACAAGGTAAACTTCTGTGGACAAGTGACATGAAAGTGGTTTTTGTTCGTTTGAACTACATTCTAGGTTCCCATCTCCATGGGCTCAGCCCTCACGGGTCTAACATACCGGCGTTGATCAGCCCCTGTACCTAACTCAGGGCAGACTCGCGATAAATGCTGATGACCACCTCGGTCTGTACGGCTGTGAGCCAGCTGTTTACTTTTCATCCGGTTGTCAACCTCTGACTCTTAACTGGTACAGACCGTTCACATATAATGTGATTACTGATACACTGGATTAAATCCGCCATCTTGCTGTTTTTTATTTGTTCTGTTTTCCTCTGCTGCTTTCCCTCAGGTTATTTGAGCATTTGTTAACCATTTTAGTTTCTGAATTGATTTGTATTTATACCATATGTGTGTATATATCTCTATATGTATGAACACATACATGTATCATACATATAGGCATATGGTGTATTATGCATATATATATATATGTATACATATATATTTTTAACTAATCGCCTTAGGGTAATTATATGAGGTGGTGAAAGAATTTGAAACATATAAGTGTATCAAATCAGTACCTGCTACAGCTTAAACTTACACCATGTTGTGTGTTG